GTGTGTGGGAACTACCGAAAAAGCACCCAAATAAGGGGGGTGGGAACTAGAGATCTACCGAAAAAGCACGGGGAAGTGAGATCCCCACCCGAAATTTTTTCTGAGTGATTATACTCACCTGGGGTGAGGATAAACTGGATATTTATTGTCACCCGGACCCGGGGGTGAGAATAAAATTGATACATTCTCATCCAAGGTGAGAATAACAACCGCCTACTATTCCCACCCGTTTTTTTTCATTTAGGCATCATAGGACCCCTGTCACTGAGCGCTCCAGGCGACAAAACTCGCCTCCCTCTCTCACTCTGCTGAGCGCGCGAGGCGATTTTAATCACCAACAAGCGGGCCAGCTCTCGAGCGCTGGAGGCGACTATTGTCGATTTGGGGGAAAACGTTATCTTTTGAGCAAAGGCCTTCGTTGAGCAAAAGGTGGAGTCAATTATGACTGGATCATCCGGTCGGAACTGACTCTGTGTCAATTGTGACCGGATCATCCACAATTCAGACAAAACTATAATTATTATCATGTCATGTAGAAATGATGGCTACTAGTTAAATTGATCTAGATCTATGGCGTTTTAAAAAGCATATATGACATGAGCTATTCAGTACGCGGCGTTGCAAATAGGGCCTGCCGAATATATTCGGACTCGAGTCTGAATAGAGCTGGCCAAAGTCAACGGTAAGATTGAAGAATACCAGACCAGCAGATTAGGACTACTTTTGCCTCTGTGTCTCGACAACCTTAGGAATTCATGATTTTCCCCAGTTTTTAATCTCTCTCAATGAAGAATCTCAGACCGGTAGCCAAGATCTATTCATTTAAACAGTTTGTCAGGGGGTAGACCCCCTCCCCTGATCCCTTCCTCCCTTATAAATATAATGGCCCAGCCCAGCCTCGAGAACCGAGAATATATATGCTATATTATTAGTAAGCCTAGCACTGTTCAGACCGTTCTTTATGTCAGCCTCATGACTCATTACAGAGGCGTGTATTGCTCATCAATAGCCTACATGCAAGAGAAATTGGTGTCAAGAAAGGTCTTTACTAAACTAAAGGAACAATATTTTCCATCTCCAGGAAGTTCAGTGACATTGAGTTTTTGGAACAGTAATGAGCGACTACCCCAACAAAGACAATTAAGATTGATCCTACCCCCTAACAATAACCGCCTGACCCCAACACTTGCCCCTACCGTAACCCTAACCCTAACCTATGACCCAAGCACAAACCCAAACCCTAACCTCCCTAGTCTTAGCCTTAGATTTCATGAATCATAATGCAGTGGTCGCTCATTACAGAATTCTTCCTGAAATTTTTGTCAAAGACAAAAAAGAATTGGCCATACCCACCCAATGAGTGATGTAATTTTTTAGTGGAGAGCTCTGATGCGAGTGCGTTGTTTGGGGTTGTTGTTGTTAGCGATCCAGGCGTTGTTTGGGGTAAATTTAAAACAGATCGGTCAGCTCACACCTCAGCGTGATCCTGTCTGGGGCAAACATTGTTGTACACCATTTCATTGAGTTTTACAAAGTGTGTGATCACATTCATTAGCAGTGGCTGATCTTTGACGCGACGGGCAGGTGAATGATCTTAACTTTTTTCACTCTTTGTTAATCAGCTATGCCCGCCTGGGTTTTTGTTCCGTAAGTTATGATCTGAAATGCGGGATCTTAGCTGAACATAGACCTTCCAAGTGAATCAGAGCGGGATCTTAGGGGTGACTTTTGCACAGTAAAAATTCTGTTTCTTTAAAACAGCAGGATCTTCAAAAGTGAACCAGGATTGTAAGTGGTGGGATCTTAGGGGTAGACTACTCTAGTTAGCAAGTTTGAGACTTGCTGAATGGTGCTGTAATTTTATTTCCTGCCCACCTTAAAAGTTTAATGTGCATTATATATTTTATTTATATTATTTTATAATTTTTTTCCCTCTGTCATGATGATTGCTAACTATATTATTTTATTTGTCAAATTACTTGTTCTATCAATTTTTTTGTTGTAGATTATTATATGTTCCTTGAGTCATAAACATGGCGGATGATGAAAATGAGGCCGTTCAAGATCATGAGTCCCCTGGAAAGCGCAAGCATAGGATCTTGGAGGAAGCAGTCCTGTTTTTCAAGAACTGTAAGATACTAAAACTTTTCAGACTTAACTTTTCTCGCTATCTAAATATTGTTGTATTTCTTAGTTTTGAGTAAATTTGTGTGTAGGTCTATATATTGTAGTCTGAAAGTGAAAGTACAATTGTAAAAAAGCCTGGAGCTTTGACTACTTTGAGAAAAGCTACCTTTACTTTATAGAGCTGAATGACACTTACTAGTTTATGTGTTTGAGAAAATGTTTGGATGCTTCTTCTATTAAAGGATTTTATAACAAAGATCCTTTGTCGCTTTGTAAAAAGCTCATTTTGTAGACAGTCAACCAAGTACCCCAATTTTATTTTATTTAAAGGGATCTAAATGTGCTCTGGCTTTTAACCCATTACAGTCACAGGTTCTGTTTGACAAAAGGTCTTTGTCCTTAAATGAAGAGTCTAGAATCTTGATGAATGTGCCAGATCTAGTGTTATCAAATCCGTTTCTAGTTCATTTTTTAGTGATCATACGATCATCATGTTCAATTTTCTCAATCTGCTGAGAATTTCATAATAATTGGGCTTGGGGTATTTTTGCAGAGATACAGGTATAGTACTGATGTAGCTCATCTGCATCTTGGGATGTGGGAACAAAGGTTGTGCGCTCTGCATGCTGGGGGGGGGGGGGGGGGGGG